CGAGGCAGAGTTGCTCTGCCCCAGGCTTCCTGGAATCAGCCGCTGATCAGTTTCAGCAGCAGCTGACTTGGGGACGCCTGGGTTTCTTAAGTTGAGTCTGTATGTAAGTCAGAACTGGCATCCAGATTCAGCTGCGGTTGAAACTGATCAGTTTCAGCAGCGGCTGACGCCAGTTCCGACTTGCATACAGATTCAACTTAAGAACAAACCTACAGTCCCTATCTTGTACGTAACCCAGGGGCTGCCTGTAGTATTCTCTGGGTGGCATGTAAATGGGACTTCTTTTTTTTTTTTTTTACCAAAAACTCTCAGCAACACTAATTTTACCTGTGTATTACAGCATCACAGTAGCAACGTTTCAGTAGTAAGGAAAAGAGAAGATGCAGCCATGTCTGTTTCCATGTGGCCCATTAGGAAACCCTCTCTTTCAGTGGCTTATAAAATAATATAAAACTTTTTTAATGGGGCTGGAATTTTCTAATGCAGAATTGCCATCTAAAAGCAATTTTCTAAATTGGGGCAAGCTAATTTTAACTTTTTTTTTAACTTTATTCCCAACCCACAAATGTGAGATGGGGGGGGCATAGTGAACAGGTCATCTCAGTTCAAAATGTTCACTTTCGGACTTGGCTTGTCGTCGGGGGGTGAGCCAGGGGCGATGTGCAGGGCTTATGAATCTGTGTGAGTGGCAGTGATGTAGCAATGTCTTTGTTGCTGGGTTTTGCAGAGCTGATTGAGAGTGCCATGTACCTGTACCGTGCCACACGAGATCCCACCCTCTTAGAACTGGGGAGAGATGCTGTGGAGTCCATAGAGAAAACCAGCAAGGTGGATTGTGGATTTGCAACAGTAAGTGTGTACTGAAAACCAGCTTCCAACCAGCAGATGCCGCTCTCTTGATCATTTGCTGAGGAGGAGGATGTTTGTAGTCTGGCTGGTTGCTCAGGAGTAGCAGAGCTGGAGGTTTTCATAGAACACTAGCACTGGAAGGGACCTCAAGAGTCATCGAGTCCAGTCCCCTGCCCTCATGGCAGGACCCAGTACTGTCTAGACCAGGCATGTCCAAAGTCCGGCCCGGGGGCCAGTTGTGGCCTGTGTTCCGGTTTAATATGGCCCCACAGGTAATTTGGCAATATCTATCTTTTATGGCCCCCAACGAATCCATATGTATTGAGATGAATACATTGTAAAATCTCAGTTAATGTCAGTTGGTCTAAATCAGTTATAAATATATTTGGACACAACATGTATACTTGGTGTTATGTTCCTGTTCATATTTTTTGAACTTAAAAGTTGACAGACAACCTTTATTACCAATAATATGTAATGTACTTTACAATGTTCCTGACATATATTTCAGCTTCCTGGATTTTTTTTTCATCTGGCCTTCAGATATGAAAGGCAGAGTGATTTAACACCTGTTTAGATTTGTCATCCATGTGACGAAATGAAAAGTATGCCGTTTGCAATAAACTTTGCATAAAATAGTTAATTTGCATTTAATTTTAATGGTTCAAAGAATGTCAGGCAAAATGGTCGGCCCTCACGCATGTTCACTTCATCAAATCTGGCCCTCTTTGAAAAAAGTTTGGACACCCCTGGCTTAAGTGCAAGCATTGACCCAGATTGACGATAGTCTTATCAGAGTCGCCAGCCTGCACAGCACTTACGCTAGGTTTCTGTCTTATTGTAACTTTACAGTTCTTGTTCATCTCTGTGGATTTCCATGTGATGCAGTGTATATGAGAGTCACGACAGGTGGTCTTTGAATAAGGCGCTGGATTGGGGGTAAAGAGAGCTAGATTGAATTTCCTGGTTCCCCCGCTCCCTCCAGGCCCTCTGGGGCATGTTGCTTAGAGAGAATTTGTAATTGATTTAGGAGCCCTTCCCTATGTTCCCCTCCACTGACTTTCTGAATCACTGAAGTACTCTTGAGGCTTCTAGTCTTCATTTCCCCATCTGTAAGTATGGGCACAGCACTTTGTTTTTGTGTCTCATGTATTTAGCTTTGGGGCAAGTACTCTTGCTATGAGTATGTCTGCTCTGGAGCTGCAGGTGTGATTTCCGGCTCAGGCAGAACAGCTAATGCACTGAAATAGCAGGGTAGCCATAGCTGCCTAGGCGTCACTTAGCTTGTGGTCTGCTATGGCCCCTAGGTCCCTTTTTCCAGGATTCCTTCCTAGACAGTCACTTCCCATTCTGTGTGTGTGAAACTGATTGTTCCTTCCTAAGCGGAGCACTTTGCACTTGTCCTTATTAAACTTCATTCTGTTTACCTCAGACCATTTCTCCAGTTTTTCCAGGTCATTTTGAATTATGACCCTATCCTCCAAAGCAGTTGTAACCCTTCCCAGCTTGGTATCATCTGCAAACTTAATAAGCGTACTTTGAATGCCAACATCTAAATCGTTGATGAAGATATTGAACAGAACCAGTCCCAAAACAGACCCCTGCGGAACCCCACTTGTTATACCTTTCCAGCAGGATTGTGAACCATTAACCATTCTCAGAGAGTAGTTATTATCCAGACAGTTATGCACCCACCTTATAATATCCCCATCTAAGTTGTATGTGCCTGGTTTATTGATAAGAATATGCGAGACCGTATCCGATGCCTTACTAAAGTCCAGGTATACCACCTCAACCGCTTCTCTCTTATCCACAAGACTCGTTATCCTATCAAAGAAAGCTACCAGATTGGTTTGACATGATTTGTTCTTTACAAATCCATGCTGGCTGTTCCCTATCACCTTATTCAGTTCCAGGTGTTTGCAGATCAATTTCTTAATTACTTGCTCCACTATCTTTCCTGGCACAGAAGTTAAACTGACTGGTCTGTAGTTTCCTGGGTTGTTCTTATTTCCCTTTTTATAGATGGGCACTAAATTTGCCCTTTTCCAGTCTTCTGGAATTTCCTGTCTTCCATGATTTTTCAAAGATGATAGCTAGAGGCTCAGATACCTCCTCTCTCTGCTCCTTGAGTATTGTAGGATGCATTTCATCAGGCCTGGTGACTTGCAGACATCTCACTTTTCTAAGTGATTTTTAACTTGTTCTTTTTTTATTTATCTTCTAAACCTACCCCGTCCCACTAGCATTCACTGTTGGGCATTCCTTCATCATCAGACTTCTTGGTGAAGACCAAAACGAAGTTGTTAAGCACCTCCGCCATTTCAGAGTTTCCTGTTATTATTTCTCCCTTCTCATTGAGCGGTGGGCCTACCCTGTCCTTGGTCTTCCTCTTGCTTCTAATATATTTATAGAATGTTTTCTTGTTTCCCTTTGTGGCTAGTTTGAGCTTGTTTTGTGCCTTTGCCTTTCTAATCTTGCCCTCGCATACTTGTGGTGTTTGCTTATATTCATCCTTTGTAATTTGACCTAGTTTCCACTTTTTATATGACTCCTTTTTGAGTTTTAGATCATGCAAGATCTCCTGGGTAAGCCATGGTGACCTTTTGCCAGACTTTCTATCTTTCCCACGCAGCGGAATAGCTTGCTTTTGGGCCCTTAATAACGGCCCTTTGAAAAACGGACAACTCTCCTCAGTTGTTTTTCCCCTTAGTCTTGCTTCCCATGGTGGGACCTTACCTACCAGCTCTCTGAGCTTACCCAAAATCTGCCTTCCTGAAATCCATGGTCTCTGTTTTGCTGTTCTCCCTTCTACCATTCCTTAACTCTGTGATTTCATGGTCACTTTCTCCCAAGCTGCCTTCCACTTCCAGATTCTCAACCTGTTCCTCCCTATTTGTTAAAATCAAACCTAGAACAGCTTCCCCCCAGTAGGTTTTCCAGCCTTCGGAAATAAAAAGTTGTCTTCAGTGCAGTCCAAGAACTCAGTGGACAGTCTGGGCCCCACGGTTAGTTTTCTCCTTTTTTCTTTTTAAGGCAGATCAAACTGTTCCTTGTAAAACTGAATCTGTAGCCCTTGTCATACTTCGTGGAGTAAGTCCATTCCCAGATTAGTCAAGGAGCTGCTGTGTAGGATCCCAGAGCAGGGGGTGGCACAAAAAGCCTCCCCGCTTCCCTTTGCCATCAGCACAGGGACTGCTTCCTCCTAGTGCCTCTGAGGGTCTAAGGGACTGGGGAGGAGGCACGGCCAGAGTATGCTCCCACTGTGTGCTAAGGAGCTGCAGTTTGCTGGAGTGGTGCAGGTCTGCATTGCCTTGGCATGAGCCTGTAGCAGTGGTTTCTGTACACTTCTTCTCTAATACCTGTCACGATGAATGATTAATGCACGAGCACTGAGAATTTATCCTCACAACTGAAGTAGGTAAGTCCCCATTTTACAGGGTGAGCGATGGTGGGCTACTCACTTCATGTCGCCAAGTCACAATGGAAATTCTTAGCTTAGAACTCGCCTCCTGATTCGCAGTCGCTTGCTGTAACTGCTACACATCGCAGCTGGGTAAAACATCCACAAAGAGATGGCTAGAAGTGAGCAATCTGAAATCAAGTCAAATAGCAAGGCCTCTGGGTAAGGATCGGCTGTGACTCCCTAGCTTGCTTTTGCAAAGGGATGAATTCCACGCTGACTGGTTTGTACTTCACGAGGCTCTGAGGTCAGGGCAGACATAATCCACTTGCTCTGCTCTTACAGATCAAAGACCTGAGGGATCACCGACTGGATAATCGTATGGAGTCCTTCTTCTTGGCCGAAACCGTGAAATACTTGTATCTTCTCTTCGACCCCGACAACTTCATTCACAACAATGGGTCGTCCTTTGATGTGGTGCCCATGCCTTACGGGGAGTGCATCCTTGGTGCTGGCGGATACGTCTTCAATACCGAAGCTCACCCCATAGACCCTGCTGCCTTGCACTGCTGCAGGAAGCAGAAGGAAGAGCAGTGGGAAGTGCAAGACTTAATGAGAGAGTTTCACTTTCTGAAGAGGAAGAGGAAGTCCATGTTCACAAGGACTGCAGCCCACAGTCGGGGGGGGAGCCAGGCAGGCTCTGCAGACACCACCGCAGAGAGCAGCGGGAAGGGAAGGAACCCAGAGAAGATCACCAAGAGGAGGGTCCCTCTCCTGAGCTGCCCCACTCAGCCTTTTACCTCCAGACTTGCCGTTCTGGGCCAGGTCTTTCTGGACAACACGTGACTCCGCTGTGAGTCCAAGTTGTTGAAGTCAATAAATCCGCTTGGGTGTGCGCTCGGTGAACCCTTTTATTCAGTGGGAAATGCTTTTCCCAGGTGGAAAAAGTGCCCAGCAGGGTTTCCAGAGTTATGTAAAACACCCGTCTGTGAGAATCCATTGCAGTCTTGCCAGCTGCAGTGCGAGAATCGGGGGCGCTGCCGCATGGTAACACAGCTGCCGTGTTGTACCAGCATGACTTACCCCTTGGAAAGCAGAAATCCTTGACAAGGAAGAGCCTGGGCCTGTTTCTTTGCAGGTGTGTTAAATGCCTTGAGATTGATTAAAGTCTCCGCTATGTGCAGGGTTTCCAGGGCCTCCTGCTTACGCGACGAGCGAAGTTGAGCTCCCTGGCTGTAGCAGCATGAGAACAGAAGCGAATTACTAGCAGCTTACTAAAGAAATGGCCGGTTGGCTCTGTGATTAGCCCTCCATTTTACTGCTGCATGCAGGGGCAGAGGTTTCTACACCCAGAGGTCCCCGATGAGCAACAAGGCAAACTCTGTCCCAAACAACAGGTTTTCAGTTCCATGCTTGCAGAGGGACAGACCTGGCAGTAGGAGGGAAACCAAGGGGCAAGGGTCTGTCAGTGTCAGGAAATGGGTTTGTTTCATAGACAGTTGCTCACCCTGCATCCCCTGTCAATTGCAATTGTCTGGCCGAGCCCGGAGAGTCTCCCCAGTTGATTACAGTGAACACTGGGCAGGCTGCCTGCCCTAGCCCCTCCCCACTAGCCCACCTGCCCTAGCCCCTCGCCATTAGCCCACCCCAGGAGGGGCCAGCATGTTCCCATGGGCTGGGGTGCTGTCCCTACCTGCAAGCACCGCCCACCGCAGCTCCCATTGGCCGGGGAACAGGAAACTGCTGGCATTGCTCCCCCTGGCCACCGCGAGGGGCAGCGTGCAGAGTCACATGCCCCTCACTGCTGGGGCCACAGCGAGCCCTGTGTGGATACAAATGTCTGCCTGAAGATTGACACGGGCATCTGCCAATCCACTGTGGCCAAAGGCCCGCCCCCAGCTGCCGATGCTGCTTGGGCTCTGATACTAGTGACAGGGCTGGAGGCAGTGCAGCCGCACGGCTGGGAAGAGCTACTGGTGTGGGGCATTGGCTCCTTGGAGCGGGGGCACCCTGCTCTCTCTGGCCACTGCGTTCCGGGGGCAGCGCCTGTGGAGCAACTACTGCCACTGTCTAGCTTTGGGCAGACCCTGGATCGGCCGGGCGGGCAGGGAGACTGCCCCAGCCTCGCTGCACTGTCCTCCCTCCTGAGCCCACTCCCAGAGCCAGCATCCATCCCAGTCCCCTTCCAACGCCCAACTCCCAGCCCTAGTCCAGTCCGTCAGTGACGGGTGGGGGAGCGAGCAGCGGGCGGGGGGCCTCAAGGAAAGGATGACGTAGGTGTCGGGTTGCCCTTAAATTCCAAAGGTACCTTGGGCATAGAAGGGGGGGCACTTACACCTGGAGCTAACGCTGGCGCCCTGTGAGTGCCGCTGTCCTGACTGCTGGGCGGCCCCCTGCTCTGAGTCACAGGGCGCATAGAGAACCCTGGCCCTTCTGCGTCTGCATGGGCCCTGGGGAGCCTGCCCCTCTGTCATGGTGGCAGGTGCATTGCAGGAGAGTTTCATTTTGAGGAAGCAGGAACCAAACTGCCCAAGGCTGGAGATGGCAGCGCCTGCTGGTTTGATCCCATATAGTGGGGTGGGAAACCTAAGGCCCAGGAGCCAGATCCAGCCCCTGGCTTGCCTGGATCTGGCCTCCAAGGCTCCCCCTAGTAGTGGGGAGCCCGTGCTGGCGCTCCAGCCCCCCAAGGGATGGCGCACCAACATTGGCTCCCCACTGCAGTGGGGGAGGGCAAACCTCTCTGGCCAGTATCAGGCCAGCCAAAGCCAGATCTGCCTGGCAGGTGCAGGAAGCAGCTCTGTGCACTGCCGCTCCCCCTCCTCCTGGCCAGCACAGCAGAGCTCTGCCTGGGGGCTGTTCCCCTGCTGCTGCGATGGGCCACAGTCCTAGCTCAGCGGAGCAGTAAGTGGCACAGAGCCATGTGCATCCCCGACGAGCTGCCCAAAGCGCCCCCTCTTACCTAGACCCTGCATCCCTCCTCCGTCTCTCACTCCCCCTCCCAGACCCACTTCCTGGCAGCCCCTTCCCACACACTGAGCCCCTCATTTTTGGCTGCACCCCGGAGCCTATGGGGACCCACAAAATCTACCAGCCTGGGCCCCCCTAGGCTCTGGTGTGTGAGGGGAATGTGGGGAGTGTCTGATTCTCAGTCAGGGGCTTCTCCCCATCATGCCTGCCACCCCCACCATCTGGGACTCTGGGCTGTTAGCAGCCGGGTCGCTCTGAGAAATGTTCTCACCAGATGACCAGAGAGAGGTACCCCGATGACACCGCCACCTATCCCCTCCCCAGCTGCCTCCCAGACACCAGCTGGGATGAAATGGGATCAGACTTTAACTCCAGCTCATCTCACCCTCCTGTCCCCAAAAGGACAGTTGCTACTGTCTTTGATACCAACTGAGACGCACCCAAGTGATTTTAGAAGTGTTTTCCTTCTAAAAACTCCCTAGCTTGAGAGAGAAAGAAAAGGATAGTGTTCAAATGAAAGGCTAGTACTTTACATTCCAAGTGCTGTAACAGTTTGTCCTGCTTTACCTTTAATAAAGGGTTCAAATGATTTTGCTAGCATGTTTGCCATGGTGGTAGGCAGGCGAAGTTCTGTAAACCAAGCCCCAAACCTCACTTCGTGTTGGACAATAACTAGATTGTTTACATGGGGGTTCCCAAACATTTCGCCTGCATAACCCCTTTTTGAGACTGACAGTCTCTAGTAACCTGCTAGCAACCAAGCGATGCGAGGAATTTACATGGTAGGTAAATTATTTAATGCTCTCTGGGGCTTGCATGGGGTGACACCGCTTCTCAGAGCCTGGCAGTGGTAGAAATGGCACATCTGATCTCCGGTTGTGGCAGCAACAGTAGATTAACTGAGAGACTTGATGGACACACGCAGGGAATCCAGCCTGAGATCAAAGCAGGCTTGCCACTGGCGCCAGTGAGTGCAGGCTAGTCGCTCCTGACCGTCAGCCAAACTCGCAGACGAGGTTCCTTGCAAGAATCTCCCACCAGAAATTTCAGTGAGCTGCTGGCGACTTCATGGGCTCAGGCTTGCACTGAAAGGGGTTTCACACCCACTCATACTCGATCACATCCAGGTCAGGGGAAAAGGACCTAAACTGTCCTCCAGCCAGCTGAGAGACTCGGCCAACTCCTGCGTAGGCGGTGGAACCATTTCATCCTCATTCAGGAACTTGCAAAGCTGAAGGAAGAATTCATAGTTTGTCTTCCAAAAATTACACTTTCAGAAAACAGTTGGGCTATGTCTACACTCGCGGCTTCTTGCGCAAGTAATATGCAAATGATGCTAAGCGTTGAATATCGCTGAGCCTCATTTGCATACCTAATGAGCCATCTTTTTTTCAGAAGAGGCTCTTGCGCAAGAAGGAGCATCTACACTGCCCCTTCTTGCACAAGAAAAACCCTCTTGCGCAATGCTGTTACACCTATTACTTTTCAACTAGGTGTAACGGCATGCGCAAGAGGGCTTTTCTTGCGCAAGAAGGGGCAGTGTAGACGCTCCTTGCGCAAGAGCCTCTTCTGAAAAAAATGGTGGCTCATTAGGTATGCAAATGAGGCTCGGCGATATGCCACGCTTAGCCTCATTTGCATATCACTCACGCAAGAAGCCGCGAGTGTAGACATAGCCTTGGAGTCCTGTGATTTAGAGTCACTCTGCTATAGAGGTGCCCTTGCAGGCCTGGACTCTGTTCATTCAAACTCCCGAATACATCTGACACAGGCACGAAGGCCCCTCTTCCTTTGGGAATGCAGAAAATCAACAGGTGCTTGCACGGGTGCACAGCATGTGTCTCAGTTCAGAAAACCATCCCAGCACTTTTCAGCCTGAGAGCTCTTTCACTTCCGTGTGGAACAGGCATAACCGGTCCCCAAGTGCTCATGCAGGAAGAGAGAATAGAAGGTCTTGGAGAAATGCACCATCCGTGCAAGGCCACCCTGTATATGGGCGGTCACGCAGCAAGAAGGCTGCTACTCTGTAGGTCAAACGCAGCCTGCTGGCGTGGCATTTGTGATGCAGGTGTGGACATGGGATGTGACCTCTCTCAGGCCAAATTTGGCCCATTGGACCTATGACTGCATCTGCTGGCGGCAGCAGTCAGGGTGTGGGGACTTCAGAGCTATATACTGGATCACGTTCATTAGACATTATAGAGAGGAAACTCGGATCTACCCAGGCATTGCAACCCTTGGCTACCCTGAAGTCATTCCAGAAAGTAGCAGGGGCAGCCCAAATGTGAGAGGGGCAGGTGGGCTTCAGTCTTTGCTTCCATGAGCATCCTCTTTTCCAGCTGCCAGAGCAGCAGCCGTGGCTCTCACAGGTGGGGCAGTGAACGCTGTTACCCCTTGGCAGCCTGTACTGGAGTGGGGGTGGGGTCGCAGGGTTTGGGCAGCCCCTCAGGTCTGTCTATTACTGAATGAGAGTCTCTGTGTGCCTAGGCGAGGTATCCAGACCAGACATCCTATCAGAGCAATCCCAGGCCCAGCGATGCATGACATGCCTTACTACTGTTTCCCAAACACGGGTTGAGCCCATGTCTCTGGCATTGGAAAGCATCCTGCATCTATGTTCAGAGCCCTCCAGAAAACCTTACCATCCTTTCTATGGACCGTTGTGTTGCAGAGTCACAAAGCTGTTGCCATTTCCAGTTCTCCCTGCCCCAGAAGTACCTTCTCCCACCCCCCTCCTGGTTTCTTTTAGCTCCCCAGACATGTAAGAGGAGTTGGGGAGTGTGAAAACAGCTCTGCTTGCTGGAGTTCGGCAGATGCCTGGCAAGGGGAGATGTAGGTGCTCTGATAGCGTAGTAACGAGCGTCATTCTCGCCTCTACAGCGATGTTGCTACTACACAACCCTCTTTTAAAACATGTCAGGTTGGTGAAACACTCATTCCAAAACGAAGGTTCTGCGCAACCTTCCTATAGTTCTGCCCTTTGTGGCAGGCCTCATGCAACAGGCTCTGGCTGCGTGATGATGTCGTTTTTTCCACGATACCCGTCAAGGCTGTTCCCTACTCTGTCAATCTGATTGCAGAAGGTGAGGGCCCTCAGGTAACTTTAAAATACCCTGCCTCTAAAGGCTTCTGCTTCAAAACCCCAAGGTCACATACCCTGGGCCTGGGCTGCGTATTGCAAAACCTCTTTGAGTAGCCAGGAGAGCACCCTTGGGAATTCC